TGGTTTCAGGATCAAGCGGAAGCGAGGAAAAATTCACCAGCTTATTCCCTTCGTCGTGCTGTTCAGTAGGTATCGTCGCCTTGGAAGCCGCTTCAATTGGGCCACTGGCTTTAATCTACGTTATCTTATAATTCCATATCTAAGCAATTTATTGTGTTTTTTGTTATTAAGTCAGAGATCCTACGTGATTTCCTTTCTGCCATACTCTGGAGTTTGGGAAAATCTTCCGCAGTTTGAATCATAGCCAGATCACGCCGGAGCTTTGACTTAATATATATTAACTTAAATATTTTATTCCTTTCCATATCACAGGTTTCATTTAATTTATGCCACGAAGCCAGGTAAAGAATCTCATTAACCCTATCGGAATGAAAGTGTCTCGTAAAGTCACAAAATCCAGGAGTGATAACATAACGTTTACAACAATCTAAGTCAATCATGCCATTTGGCCTTTTTAAACTGTTGTAAACTTTTGGATATAGAGGAAGAGGAGCGTTTGGCCTTCCTAGATGTGAAGGCTATTCGCTCTACTGAGGCACTCAAGAGGAAGATGTTTCGAAGGAATTAATCTGCCGGAATACTACTCAATTTCGAATCTCAACACAGCTACAGAATGATGATAGGAATACTGAGGAGCATGATCATCAGAAGCCTACGATTAACGGATGTGGAATTATGGGATGAAGAATTGTCAAAATTGACTCGGATATTCCTCAGTTATGGTTGTCCGAGAGAAGTAATTCAAAGAAACATACTGGCCGTGAAAAGCTGACGGCAGGACAGAGATTATGGAAGAAACATAAAGATTGATAAAGACTCACAAAAGTCAACATGTCTCCCTTCCTGTGAATTTGATCAAAAACTACGGCCAATATTAGGAAAATGGAATATTCATGTGACTACGAAGGAAAAAACAACACTTCACAAGTCTACTCATGCAGCATGAGAGGGTAGATAAATTGGATTGCTCATGAGTTTACTATATAGCATGCGGCGTCTGTGAACAGAAATACATTGGCAAAACTAGAAAAAGCTTCGGCATACGAATCAAGCAACACTAAAGGCGCTGCAGGAAAATGAATATTGAAAGATCAGATATAACGGAACACATCGCAGAGACTGGAAACGAGATCAATCGAAAGGCAATAGAAAGAAGGGCGTCATACAGTAAAAGCACAAAGAAACTGAAGACTAGGAAGGCAATTGACATCCTTGGGGGAAAAATGTAATGAACAGGAGATTGGAAGAAGACAGAGTCAGTGATAATTGCCTATCGCCTAATCATACTCGGGTAAAACAGGGTAGATATGATGAACATCATCAGAGTTGGAACTAATTTGCCCGAAACAGGAGAGGATGTCTCGTGGACTGTGTAAATCCGAACGTCTTATTAAGCAAGCGGCTACAATATAACAGTACTCGGCAGTCGGCGAAATTTTTTGTCTTAAGAGATTAATCGAAACCCATTTGTTCTTCCTATCTATAAATGCTTTGTTTAAATGCACATCGTTATCATTACAAACTCTCTTCGCTTTATTATTTGTATACTTTAAATACACTTAAAATAACCTCTGCTTTGCATGACTATGCTCTTTACTAAGCTACAGTTTTCTTAATAATGATGCACTATTTCATATACTCTTTAATTCTCTTCGATTTTATCCCGTTTATTCTTATTCTTTCCTAGGCTATCAATGTCAACTCTTCCCTCCCATTTCTTTGAGAATAGTCTCTGTCTAGGTTCTTAAGTTTTCTTTCATATGCGCCTCACTTTTCCTTCTTTGACTTATAGCATTCGCACCGCGTCTCTTGCTTCTTTTATGGGGTTATAGGTGTTTCCTATCCATATTTTTATTCTTATCTAGGTATGGACCATTGCAGACCAATGATTCAGGAGGAATGCAAACAGCTGTTGGTGCATCTCCTTCGCCTTGCGGTACCTCATGTTGATATGCTTCGTGTTATTGGTCTTCAGCTCACTGCTGACCTAACTGCCACTGCCTATGCGCCCACACTTCCTGGTCGGCGGCCTCATCTCCCCAGTCTTGTTCTTCATCCGGGCCCCTGCAGAGTAGACTCTATTAATTTTTAACTTTTAAATTTGTTGTTCCTCCTTTATTCCCTCCTAATTCTTTAATAACATTTTTTTCTTGCTTAAGGATCGCTTTCCGTATGTTCTTCCAACTGATGAGCCACTTACTTGGAGACTTCCCTGCTCTCGTCGTCTATTGGCTTCGCAGCAACAAGATGATAGGTTCTTAGGCCCAAGCCTTTCTCCCGACTTGCCATCTTTTCCATTTGAACAGCCAGCACCTCTTCAACCCTACTGGTCAAACCAGTATACTGGCCTTAATTTTGGTAAAAGCCTCTCGCTTGGCCTTCCTTCGTGTCAATACGCCCCTAGATCCTGTGGTTACATTCAGCGGCAGCAAAAACGAGGTCATCAGGTGGCAAGACACAAGCTTTTTGCTTCTACAAGCCCTGCACTAAGCCAACGTCATCGACAGCGCTGTTCATGCGCTCATTCTCGAACCCGGATTGTGCGTGTGGGTCTACGTTCAAGTGATCGGGCTGTTGGCGAAGTCGAGAAGGAATCAAATGTTGCCATTGCAACCACAGCCGGACTGAGTGCAGTCCCTGAATCCTTACTTAGCGGGATTACCGACACAGGCCGAAATTCCACACTCGTAACCACGGCTGTGTCCTCTGCGACGCCGGATTACCCATTTGCTGGCTCCACTTACAGTTTGATGAGTACGACTACATTAATCCCAGGTGGAGCTGTGCAGCAGCATCCAAATTCCCTGTCATCTCCACTTAGTCACTCTCACAATCAGCAACCTCCGCAACAACATCAGACCTATCCGCTATCACCCTCTTCTGGTCAGCCATGTCTCGAGGCTGAAGAGGAACCACTCAATACAAATTTTTATAGCCTACCGAGAAAGCGGCATTTGGATAGCGATCGTACTAAGCTAAATGAACAATCTAAGGAGACTTTGGTAGGTTGATTAGAATATAATTTATACAGAACCCGTGCAAACATATATTTTTGCTAGATGATGCATCTGATAATTTTTTTGACTTTAGTCTTGTCTAAAGGCATATATCAACCAAGTACATTAAATGTAATGCATTGGGTTTGTATAAAAAATTAATGAGGCTGCTATGACGATCCATTAGATAGAGCTCGTGCCTACACTTCATGACGTATGGCCTCCTCATCTGAAGAGATAATATGTCCAATATGCTGAGCTATAAATTAATGTGGGTCTGGTTCGGCACGGGGTTGATCTTTTTAATTTTATCTATAATATCAATACACATTTTGGCATTCTATCTTAATAATCCTGAAAATAGCTAGCATAAATGTTGCTTCGTAGATAAGGAGACCAAGATGGTGGGTCCTTTTGCTTGGTCACAGTCTCTTTTAGCTGTACAGTGTTGGTTTGACTTCATTTTCGCAACTGTTCGGAGTGCTATGACCTTGTAGGGTCATAGTATTTATCATGATTTTCAGTATAGGATTACTGACTTAATTGAGTTGGATTGCATTTCTCTCTGACCATGCCGACCAAGCATCTAGGAATGTACAATGCTAACGATGCTGGAAATAATCATGAATACTATGACGGAGGATGCAAAACTAGGTACGTTCCACAAGGTCTCACTGTCGCTTCAACCAACTTGCAAAAACTCGTTCTAACCAACACTAAAATTGCTTATTTTTAGAAGCTAAAGCTGTCTAAAGACCTCTTAATTGGATCTCTGTAAATCCAGCAATCATACCAAGAAAGTGATTTTTCTTGATAGCTCCTTTGACACGTGCGTATATCTTTGGGCTTTGTCAACTACTCTGGAAAACTCTAGCTACCATGCCGATGCTTAGTAAAATTGTTTTTTGTTGTTCGACTCCCAGTCTTGGGTTTGCTGGCTTTGATGGCAGGTGTCACAATGTTGGGCTAGTCCCTCTACTTATGCTTCTAACCACTTCCTACCTACCTTAATTTAAAAGCTGGAAGAATTTACGTGAGTCTATTAACAGAAAATAAGGGGAAGGTTTATTCTTGTCAGGCATTTTATATATTTTTAATATATTTTTATTAACTGAGAAACGTCTTAAGATGCATCAGATCGAAAGTCTTATGTAGAAACAATATTCAGCAAAAACCTGGATACGAAGCAATTCTTTTGAAGCCTTTCTGCAACTGTGGTAAATCTACAGAAGTGGGGTTTAACAACTCTTTAATGACAGAAGGCTGTAACTAAGGAGAAGGCCAACATATCTGTTATTATTAGAGACTCAAATGAAAGGTTCCTCAATGGATGAATCTGAACTTGATGAGATATAAACTAGTGGTTTGGAGTTTCAGAGATTTTTTGTGACCCACCCAG